ATACCGTACATGTACATGTATGGACATACCGTACATGTACATGTATGGGCATACCTGTAACGGTATACTTTCCTCATGCTCCTTTCATTATTATGCATGTACTGGGCCCTCTTAGATTTTTGAATACGTTATATTTATATGCACTCGGGCACACCCTCGAGTTAGATATACACTCTGGAACCTGAAGTGACACCATGAAGATCATTACAAATGCAGACAATTTTTGTGTTTGGACTGAGTTAATTAACAAGGAACCGATCGTGTGTGATACAAACATGTACATGTAATGAGCTTTTTTCCCTGGAATGTGTTTGCTAATGAGGGTATGAATGTTTGCACTAACTTGATCGGCCTCATTAGGGACATCCTCGGCAACAATCAGGTCTCATCACCCTGACACCTTTTATGTGCCATATTTGTCCTCAGCGACACTCATTTCCAGGGGGGGTAGGTGGGAGAGAAGGGGACAAGGTAAACATCCTGTTCCTTGCAATCAGTGAGACTGGCTGCTGTTGAAGTTTGTGTTTGAATGTTTACCAAGATTGTTAAAAATAAATCAGTGGGATAGATTACACACAGTAGGCACTTGCTCCTTGGCTACAAAGTGGCCAGACTTATGTAAGATTCCTGGCATTGCGAAGTAGAAACCTGGAAAAATCAGGTTTATTCATCGTAGCTGATATGGATTTAACTGGATTTTCCATCTCACCATGAAGCAAAAGGCTTTGTTCATAACGAAGCCCCCCCCCAAAAAAAATAAATTTCAATTGTGCCAGTACACTGTGTACAAGACATATACACTCTCACATACATGTAGTGTACTCGTATGTTGGACTTACCCAGTAGAGTTTCACACATACATGTACATGTTGTTTGAATTTTAGCTGTTTTCATTCTGCTTTGTGGGAGAATGTGGCTTTGTTATAAGAATTTGCGATGGATGATCCAATTTTTTTTTTCACTATTTAAACATTTATTCAACGTTGTCACTTGATACAGTGCCAGATTTAGTTTTACAAGAGTGCCTGTTAGAGAACAAATCATCTATACATTTGTATAAATGAACCTGCATAAATACCTGGGACAGTTTTT